GCCTTGTGGAGGAGCCGGGACGGACCCTCTGTGGCCTCTGCTGGGGACAGGGCTGCACCCCCTCTCTCACCTAGAGACCTTAGAGACCCACTGCCCCCCCGCAAATGAACCCCACTGCCATCCCAACACCAGAGAACCTGAGACACCAGTCCACGGAGCCGGGGGTTCCTGAGGCTAGGGTAGGAGGTGCCCGCTGGGGACATCTGAGTGTGGGGGGGACGACACCTTGTCAGTGGTTGGAGGAGCCAGGACCGCCCCCGCCCCAGCAGCACCTGCCTGGCCCTGCTGTCTGCACTCCACCCCTCACCCTCACCACCTAACAGGGTGCCAAGGCCAATGGTCAGCTCATCCTTTCACAGGGACACCGGTGCCCCAAAACACTATTCCCTCCACTTATAAAAAACTCGCCCAGCCTTCCCATTGCCCAGCTGTCCCATTTTGCAAAACCACCCGGGTCTGCTGGGATGGGGACCAAGTCTCAGGGGGTCCCCACACTCCGCATGTGACCTCTGCGGTTCCTCCCTGCAGAAGCCCAGGACATCTGTGAGATGGAGCCACCTTGAGACAGCAGGCCTTGTGAACACTCCAGCCGGCCTGGGGTGCAGAGTCCAGGTGACACCCATGCTGCCACAGATGGAGATGCTGCAGTTGACACAAGGGCTCTGGGTTGGTTTGAAATGAACAGGCAGGCAGGCGCCTTCCGGGCTCTCCCAGCACGGGGTCCAGACTGCAGCTTCCCCTGGACCTGCAGACTTGTGGGAAGGGGTTCCCTGGCCACCCAAGTACAGCTCAGTGGGTCTGGGGCACAGGGATCCCAGGCAAAGCGGTGCAACTGGCCCAGGAGGAACACACCCTGACGAGCCCATCTGGCAGGAAGCGGGCACACCTGGGGCTTCAGCCCCAGAGCCCTGGCAGAACGTGAGAACTGCTCTGTGGTCTGCAATGTTACAGAACCAAGAACTGTGTACCTGGCACATGCCAGGGACGGCGCACGGATCTGGGTACGAGGTGCCTGTGCCTGGCTGCGAGGGTGGGCTCCTGTTGGCAGTGGACCTGGGTGGCACGTGTGGGTCTGAGGTGCTGTGATATCACCTACTTCAGTCCTCTCGGGGCTGCTCTGGGAGGAGGGTGGGATTCAGTGAGAAGGAACAAGGTGAAGGACAGGGTCTCACAGTGTAGCCCAGGCTGACCTTGAACTTGCAGTGATCCTCCTGCCTCAGCCTCCCGAGTGCCGGGATCACAGGTGTGCGCCCCCATGCCTGGCAAGGGTGAGAGAAGTTCTGCACTCGAGGTGGGCAGCAGATCTGGGTGAGGCTCCTAGTGGCTAAAGCAGAGAGAATGAAGCTGGGCCCAACTCTCACCTTCGGATTAGGAGTGCTGGGCTGGGGCCTGAGCTTGTCTTCACAGCTCGTAGATGCAGGGACTGTCATCCTCTCAGCCAGTCACACTGGGTCGGCCAAGCCACAGGGACAGGGTGCTGAGACCACCGGCCCAGGACCAGAGGGGAGGCTGCACCCCTGCAGGATGCCTGGGCCAGCACCACCTGGCAGGCACCGGCTGGAAGGCTCTGCTCCTTTTTTGCCAGTGGAGGGGACGGAGCCCAGGGCCTGAGATGCCAGGTCAGCGCCCCACCCCTGAGATGCCCCAGCCTGGCCAGGGGCTCTGTGGGGACAGGTGGGGGTCTGAGGCGACAGGGAGGAATCCCACCTGTGCCTGGTGGGGGTGGTGCCATCTTGGAGCAAGACGTAGGGACTTGAGGCCCCCAAATCCTTGAGGAGGGCGGCCTGCTCCCCGCCCCGTGTACCCAGGACAGGCTGGCAGGGGCCAATGGGCAGGGCCCTGCATGGTGGCATGGGCCACCCAACCCCTGGGCAGAGGGCAGGGCCAGGGACACCGGTGAGCCCCAGCACTCGGCCGTGTTCCTGTGAGAGGCCCATAGTCCTAGGGTGGACAGAGATACGGCTGTGGGCAGGCGGGGATGGGGTGGCCTGCGGGTGAAGGAGTGTCTCCACCTTAAAATCGGCCCTCACCCATCCCCACCTGCTTTCTCCTGAAAATGGGCCTGGCCCTACCTCCCCCACTCAAAGAGGCCAGAAGTGGGAGAAAGCTGATTACTGCCAAAGGCTGGAGGCTGCGACCGCAGCTCTCGGTGAGCGTGACCCAATTCCGAGCTATTCTCAGCCTGGTGGGAGCTGTACGATTCCCTCCCGCCACTCGCCTGCCTCGGAGGAGTCTGACTTTGAAACGCCCTCCTCCCAGCCCGAGGGCCCCAGGCACAGGGGCTCAGGGTCCATGGCAGCCCGGTCCCTGCCTGCTGACCACCCTCGGCACAGCCTGACCCCAGACCCCAGGGCGGCTCACGTGCTGTGGTAGGTGCCCAGTGCCACCTGCTGGGAGAAGCCCCTTGTCTTGAGGCTAAGCTCCAGACAGCAAAAGGTTCCTTCACCCTCCCCCAACCCCAGGCCCGTCCCAGGCCCCCCAGGCCAAGTCAGGCATGGGGTGCACGCTGGCCCACGTCAGGCGGTAGGCCACCTGCACCGAGGCTGGACAGCGCCATCCCACAGGGCCGGCTGGAGGAGCTAAGCATGTGACGCTGGCCACCAGCCTGGGACGGAGGGGGGCGGCAGGGCCAGCCCCACTTGTGGACGGGCCTGAGCCCACTCATGAGCAGCCAGGCAGCAGCCGAGCAGGCTGGGTGCCATGGTGAGCTCTGGGGGCCAGTGGCCGCCAGCACGCCTGGCTGGGAGGTCAAGTGGGGCACCCTAGGCCGGCCTGGCCTGGCTGTGTTCTTAGCCCCTGTTCCAGCCCGCACGTAACTGGAAGCAGATGGCCTGATCTCCCAGAGAAGTCCCGACTGCAAATCCTCTCCTAATTCTGTAACAACAGTGCAAAAAGCTGCAGGCGTCCCAAGGCACACACACAGGGCACTCCCTGGAGCAGAGTGCGCCCATCGCCAGCCTTGAGTTCCGGAAAGGCCCCGAAGTAGCGGCTCCCACTAATGACAGGAATCCCAGTGCTGCATGGGACGATCTCAGGCAGCCTGCATGGCTCGTGTGGTGGTGACCAGGCAGCCCAGAGACTGAGTGGCAGAGCCACGTGCTCCCAACTGTCCCCCAAAACCCCACCACTCACGTTGACCTGCCCTCCGCAGCCCTGGGGCGTGCTCAGGAGACCACCTGTCCCTGACTCCGGCGGCAGTGGCCCCGCCATGTGCCTGCTTATGGTTGGTTCTCAGAATCCCTCGGGACAGGCTGTGTGCTGGGGTGTGCCCAGTCTACAGGCTGGGGAAGCCCCTTGGGTCCTGGTGAAGTCCTGAGGGCCCAGCACGAGCATCCTTCTTGCTTGCTCCACTCCGGGGCCTGAGGAGCCAGACCTAGGGCAAGGGCCCTTCCTTGATCCACTTGCCTGCCCACCTCAGGCCATGCTTGGGGCAGCCCTGCCGCCTCTGAGCCAGTTTCTCCACCTGTGCCAGGGTGGCATGGGGCAGGTCAGGGCTGGCGGCCCACCTGCTCTGGGTCCCAGGCCCAAGGCCAGGTAGAAGCACGAGAGACCTACAGAGGGGTGAGGCACAGAACCCTCCTCCCACAGCCTGGCATCCCTAAGGCCCTGGATGAGGCGCAGCATAGGTTAGGCGGGCCCTTGAGGTCAGGAGCGGCTCACGCAGGGCACAGGCGCCCTGGGGCAGGTGAGCTAGGGCCAGAGCACAGGGTGATGACCCAAGCCACCCAGGAGCCAGGTGTCCACTGCCTCCCTGGGCCACACTGGCAGGAAGTGGGCGGGCACAGCAGTGGGCATGGACAAGCTGCTGCTAAGGAAAAACTGAGCACTGCATGTCAGGCTGCGCAGGGAGTTTCCAGCTCCGGCCCCGTGAGGAGCCTCGTGCTGCTGACTCCCGGAGGCGATCCTCAGGACCCGCTGACCAGTCACTCGCCGGCCTGTGTCTGTGGGAAGGAGGCTCCCCATGTGTAGAACTGGGGTGCCGTGCGGCCTCTGCTCCTGTGGGGGGTCCTCAGGCTGGGGCAGCCTGTGCAGGTCCGTGGGACACAGAGCATTCAGTGGCCATGCAGAATGTTCCTGCCTGGGCACGGGTAGATCTGGAAGAGTAACTGCAGGAGAGAGACACGTGGCAGAGCCTTGAAAGACACACGGACGCTTGCTGCTCGGGGCCAGAGGAGGACTCCCGTGGGTGGAAGCTGTGTGACTCTGGGCTGGGCGAGGGCCAGCTGGAGGCGGTGGACACAGGCCGGCCCAATAGCACATCTGTTAGCACAGCCAGCCCAGATGCAGGCAGCAGCTGTCCCTCAGGGCAGGCTGTTCTGGCTTCTCACTGCCCCTACCTCTCACAGGCCCTGACTTCACGTTCCCCAGGGCGGTCTCGGTCAGCCCACTTGGACAGTGGGTGCGACTAGGGCCCCACACCCAAGGCCCGCCTGTTCAGCAGCTGTGCAGGGCAGACGTCCTGTGCCTCTGCCGCGGGACCTGGAAGCCTAGGCGGGGCTCATGTTGAAGCTGGCCTGTCTTATAGCCCAGGTTAGGCACGAGGTGAGAGGCCAGTCCAGGGCCCAGGAAGAGGGACATGCCCAGGGCAGGGCTAGTAGTCTAGGACTTTGAGCCACTGAAGGAAGACAAGCCTTGCTGCCCATGCCAGCTCCAGCAGAGGTGCCTAGCAGTGTGACACTTCTCAGGAACAGGAGGCCTGGGACACTCGCCACTGCAAGCAAGACTGCGGGGGGGGGGGGCGTCCTGCAAGAAGGACGGGAGGGAGCCCTCGCTCAGAGATGCACGCTCCCCCCATCCCAAGGGACAAGGGGTCCTTTCTACAGCTGGTGGGGGTGGCCACACACTCACCCCTTTGTCCCAAGTCCCAGGCTATGTCCTGGAGTTTGGAGCTCCTGCAGCACCTACCCTGGGCTGGGGAGAGGGCAGGAACTATGTGCGAGGCAGGCTGGCCAGGCGACCAGCTGGGGGCGGCTGCTTGGACCGTCAGGGAGGCCACTCAGTGCAGTGGGCAGCACATTTATTGTTCTGTCAGGCACAGTCAGGGCCAGCCCCACATGACATGGGGACGTGATACCTGAGGCTCCAGTCCCAACAAGCCATGTGGGCTCCTGATGGCTGCCTCCCGGCCTGACCTGTGTGCTGACCACACACCAGGGCTGGGCAGCAGGGTGACCACCAGTGCCCAGCCCTAGGTCCTGGCCTCCATGTTCCCCCACCCTTGGGAAATGCTCACTCACCCTTCAAGAGGTGGTGACAAAGGTCCATCTATGGGAGGTACTGTACCCTGCCCAACACCACTGTCTGTAGGAGGGCTGCTCCTTCACCCCAGGGATCCCATAAGAAGGAGGGGGACCTAAGATTGGGGTGACACTGGCTGGGGACTCGGACCCACCCAGCCACTGCAATGCTGTGGGGTTTTCCTGACAACACAGCAGGGGCTCTGGCGGGCGGGAGCTGGCCCTGCCCCAGGTCATGAGAAGACTCCATGGCCTGGAGGTCAGGCAGCACAGGAAGGACAGCAAGGGGGTCTCCAGGTCAGCTTCCCTTGGCTTCTGGCCAAGCCCAGGACACCGAGCGGCTAAACCCTGGCCCAGTCCTGAGCCAGCCACAGCCCCTACGGGGGAGCACAGGCCTGGAGCAGTGGCCGCCCCTTCTCCACCACCTTCCCGCGGGGGTCCACAGAGACAGGGTCAGACATTGCCACCCCAACTGCACCACATGACCTTAGCACCCAGGAGAGCCTGCAGCAGTGCAGGCCTCGCAGTGGCAACAAACAGGGTGGGACAGAGCCAGAGCTCAGTAGGGACACGGGTAGGAGGCTCCCTCCCTGAGGACAGCAGCAGCCAGCACTCCTCCCCAGGGCCACCCAGGAGGCCACAAGCCCCGCCCTACATCCGTTTCCAAGCGCAGGCCCACAGAGTCCCCTGACCATATAAGGCGGCCTGGCCTCCCTGTTGGCCCTGTGGTCCCCCACACCCAGTGCTCCTAGGCTCGCTAGCCCGGGGTCTTGGTGGCGAAGGTCAGGTAGCCTGTGTGGCCCACAGTCTCCTTCATGGGTGTGCCGCTGCGGAAGGGGCTGGCATCTGGGCCTGCAGGGGTGCCCACACTGTCCCCCAAATCGGGCAGGGGCAGGCTGACAGTGCGCACATTGTAGACCTGTGGCAGCACCTCCAGGGTACTCAGCTCCGTGAAGCCGTGGGCTGCCAGCGCCTGGCATGTGCGCTGAACTTGCTCAATGCACGGTGAGAAGGAGCAGAAGCGCCCACCTGTGGGAGGACAAGGGGGTCAGAGGCGCCCAGGGCAGTCTGCACAGCTTTAGCCCTCTAGGGGCTAAGGGTGGAGGCCGTGTGGGTCCTGCAGGGCCCTCCTGTTGGCCTGCCCCATGCAGAGGCCTTCCGGGGTCTGGGAGCCACATGCAGGAGCCACAGTGCACCAAGCCCACGTTGCAGGGCCTGAGAGCCTCTGGCGGGCACTGCCACCCTGCCTTCGAGGAGGCAGCTGAGGGCGGGGCCAGCCTGCCACAGCTGTGAGGGCGAGGCCAGGAATAGCTCTAACAATACAGCAGCTCTGGGGTGGTGTGTGGGCTGCTGCTGTCACAGGAAATTAGAGGCTGTCGCAGGCTCCCAGGAACAGGAGGCGCCTATCCTGAGCACAGCCGAGCCCCTCTGCTGCTCCCCCAGGCAGCCCACGGCCTGGCTCAGCCCACCCATGTGGGCAAAAGTCTGGCCAGGTCCTCATCTAGGCAAGGGTCATGGGGTGCCAAGGCAGAGAAGGGGTGTGAGTGCCCTGGCAAATCTACAAGTCCCTAGGCTAGGTACCCAACACAGGACTGCCCACAAGCACAACCTCACCACCGAGGTAGAGCCTGGGCACAGGCAAGCGGTCATCAAAAAATGCCAGGCTTTCTATTCTTACATCTGGTAATCTGAGCAACTTCGCTGAAGATAACAATATGTAATATAACAACCACTGTTCACCCCTATCATTTGGTTTGAAACCTCGTATCATTTTTAAAGTCCCTGCTTTGTTTTGTTTGTATTTTGCAATTGTTCTTTTCTTTTGTACTATTTTCTTTGAAATAATAAAAAAAAAAAATGCCAGGCCCACAGAAAGGGCAGGAGCCCGGGCCCAGCAACGTGCAGACCCAAAGGCAGGGCCCAAAGGGATGGAGCCCACAGGGACACAGGAAGGGACCACTCCTGAGGAAGGCCCAGGGACACCCTGCCTGCTTCTGCTGCCCTGGGATGGGCTTGGAGCAGGGACAAAGGGTACGGGTAAGGCACAAAGGGCAGAGGCGTGGGGGTGCAGGGCCGGTGGGAGCCCACAGACGGTGCCCCCAGACCACCTCAGCGGGACCAGGCGCAGACCCGGCAGGGCCTGGGCAGCAGAGGCTGGCTCCTGTCTGGGAGCCACAACCATTCTGCCTCCCGCCCCTGCACCGCAGCCCTGGGGGTTGGAGAGCAGCTGCCCAGCTGGTTCCTTCTCCAGAAAAGGCAAAATCCCTGCAGCTCCAGGGCTGCCTTCCTGGCTCCAGGCCGACCTTCCCCAGGCCTCCCCAGCGCTCCGCCTCCGCACCCAGCATCTTCCCTAAAAGGGGCCAGCTGCCCAGCTCTGCTGTGTGGGGGGAGGGGAAGCTGCAGGAGGCACAGCAAGGTGGGGGCTGCTCGGGGACCGCCCACCTCAGACCCAGGCCCATCCGTCCTGCAGATCCTGCCTGCACCAGAACAGGACTGTCTGCAATCCCCAGAGGCCTTGGCCTGACCTCCCACCCCAATTCCCCAGCCAGCCTGCCTTCTCCTCACCGCAGGGCAGAAGGGACTCTGGGCACTGCTGCAGTGTGGCAGAGGGGCCCAGACCTTCACCCCACCACTTCATCCCAGGCTGCACCCCGTCAGGTGCCCCACACACCTTCCACCTTGAGGGCGTCCCAGGCGTGCCCCACGGCCTCCCAGGGCGACGGGATGTCCAGGAAGACGGCGTCGGCCACATGGCTCACCCCGAAGCCGCTTCGGCACACGTCCTGGGTGCGCACCGTCACCCAGCGGCCCACGCGGTGCTCCTGGAACTCTGCCCGGGCCTTGTCTGCCCGCTGCTGGTGGAACTCCACTGTGTGCAGATGGCCCGTGGGGGCAATGCTGCGGATGATGGCGTGGGACACAGAGCCACTGCCGGTGCCTGGCGGGATGAGACAGGACAGGCTCTGGGGCTGCTCACAGCCCACAGCCCTCCAGGAAACAGCCTCATCCTCACTGGCAAGGCCCTGCAGGGGGCCCAGGAGACCAACTGACCCCTGGGTAGCAGGTGGTGTCACTCATGAGCCACCTGTCTGCTCCTGGTGGCACTGGCCCTGGGCCAGGATGCGAACACTGGGAAGGACAGACTGTCTGCCGTGGGCACAGATGAGGGCACACAGGCACCATACACATTCACCGGGGCTTGGGGGAGGCGAGCCGGGCAGAGCTACCATGGGCCTGGCTTGGCTTCGGCCTCGATGCCTTCCACACAGTAACTGAGTCCTGGGTCCCTACCTCCTCACCTCTGCGTGGGTCAGAATGTCCCCGAAGCCCCACCCAAACCTGCCACAGCACAGAGAAGCTCTGCCTGGCCCTGCTCCACCTCAAGCTCCTCCTGCTCCAGCGCCCCCTCTCAGTGCTCCACCGTGCCTACACTCAGCTTCCTTCAGGGACACCCTCCGCTTGTCTCTGCAATGCTCAGCCTGGGCCCAAGCACCACACAGTCCCAAGTCCATCCCCACCACAGTGCCAGGTGCCACCTACTTTTATGACTCCTTAGCCTGGATCCCATGTAAACTCCTGCAATAACACCTACCACACTTACCACCGCCCCTCCACACCCTACAGTCCTCAGCACTAGGGTGCCAAGCTGGACTCCTGCCAGCCCCCAGCTACTCCCTGCAAAGGCACTCAGACCCAGGCACAACACCCATTTCTCAGCCACTGCCACGGAGGTGCCACAGCTGCCCTACCTCGGACACACAGCAACAGTGGGCCACACGGGATCCACTCCTGCACTGCTCCAGGACCAGGCCCCTCTGCCACCCCAGGCCTTGTCCAGCACACACCTCAGTCCCGTCTTTTTTTTTAACAGGTTGCTCTCAGTCCCATCTCAAACAGCATCCTTCCTACCCTCTGCACAGCCAGCTGGGCTTCCCTTCCCACTGAGAGCAGCCAGACTCTGGATTATCCTCTGATAGTCCCCCATTATCTCTTAATTTCATTTCCTGCTCCTTTGGCCTCACTTCCTGAATCAACTTTCTGACCCAACTGTGGTGGTGTGCTTCTGCCACAGGGCCTTTGCACACCTTTCCCCCAGCTCTTGGTAGTACGTCCTCACTATGTTCAACCCACATGGTCTCTCTAAGTCCCTTGACTACCAGAGCTCTCAGCTATCCGACCTAAGCCACCCTCAAACACGTAGTGGTGTCTTCCAAGCTTGCCCACAATGCACAGCACTGACATGGGGACCAGGCTCACTCTCCATTCCCTCTCAAGGGTGGGAACCTGACACCTCCCAGGAGCCTAGAGGGGTGTGGTTGGTTGAGCAAGAGCGGGGAGCTCAGAAAGGCCAGTGCCTGGCTCAGAACGCATCTCCATCTGAATCCTGCTCCTCAGACCCCTGGCCCCCCAGATATAAGCAGAACTGAAGCCTCAGAAACCAGAAACGGGGACCTAGAAACTCCTTGTGACCTTGCACCCCAGCTCCACCTGCAAGAAACATGCCACCATGATTCTAGCCACATGTGGATCCACGGTCATTTCCAGCAGGGATGCACATCTTGGCCACTACCCCATGTGGCCCCAGTATGTGTAGGGGTAACAACTGGCTCTCAGGTCCTCCAACCCTGGGTGCTACCTCAGCGACTGTGGTGCTCATCTTTGCTGGAGGCCAATGGGGTCCTGGGTGCAAACGAGCACAGGGCAGGCTCTGCACTACAGTGAAACAGCACTGCACTAGAGAGGCAGTCAGCACCTTGGTCAGCGCCAAGCAACGCTGGTCCTGCCCCAAAGCGGGCAGGACTTACAGGGCACCACTCTCTCCTTCACCACCCCAGGTCCAGGCCACATCTCACTCACACACCCAGCCTGAGGGCTCTCACCAAGTCATCTTCCAACACGAGAGCTGCCTTACAAGCTTCTCACAGTCACCAGCACCACTGCCACTCCTGACAGCTGGCCTCTGCGCAGCTACACAGGCCTGCAGGAAGGGCAGGTCCAGGCCACCTTAATGCGTTTCTCAGAAGCAAGGTAGCCTGAAGAACTTACCAGACTCACAGACCACAGAGCCAGGCCGCAGCTCCAGCATCATGGTGAGCAGGGCGATGTCGGTGGAGTACAGGATCTGCGTGCGGTGTGGCAGGTTCAGCGTCCAGAGCTCGGGAGTGGGGTGCAGCACATACACCCAGCCACCTCGGCTGCAGGTCACCTTGGAGCCGAAGGGACGGCCAATGAGGTCGACCGAGTGCCGCAGGACACCATGCCGGGTCTGAGTCTGTGCCCCGCGCTGCACTCGCACTGCCACCATTGCACCATGACCCAGTGACAGGATGGCCGTGTCACCCTCCTTGATCAGCTCTTCGTAGGCCACAAAGCTCATGTTGTTAATGTCCGCCAAGCGTCAGGGACCTGGGGAGTGGCGCGTGAGGCTATGAGCAGGCGGCAGGGCCAAGAGGCACGGTGGGGACCCGGGGTCTGGACGGAAGGCTGTGAGGCCCAAGTTCTGCACAGTGGGGCGCGGGGTAGGCGGCTGGCTTGGACCCTGCCCCTGCCAGGCAGGGCAGCCCACTGGGGCCTGACATCTGAAGCCCTTCTTGGTCTGGGACACGAGACAAGGCCCAAATCAGAGGTGGAGAAACAGACTCGGCAACAGCGGAGGCGGGGCCCAAGGATTCCCACGGACTCCGACGGAGCCGGGCCCCGCTCGCCAGCTAGGCAATGAGAAGGCGGCCTTGGAGAGGCGCCCGCCGGCGGGAAGCGGCAAGTGCTAAGTGATTCCGAGCCGGCCTGGCTCCGCGGAGCTCTCCCCTAACATCCCCACGGCGGGCTCGGGCTGGGGCGGCCGGGCGTTCGCAGGGGAAGGGGTGGTGCTGCGGAGTGCACCTAGGCGGACACGCGGGCCACCCCAGGACTCTGGAGGAACAGCGCAGGCCCACGGAAAGGCCCCGAGCCCCGCGCCGGACCCGAGGGACCCGCACCCACGCGGCAAGGCTCACCCGGCGCCGGCTCCGAGCTCCACACGTGTCTCCGCTACGCGCAGCGGCGGCCACTACTTCCGGCTCCGGGCGCGCGCTGATGACGTCGCGCCGCGTGGACTCCTGGGAGGCCCGGAGCTGCCCTTCGCGTCCTCGCAGAGGACATTTGTTGGTCTCTCCGGCTGCCGTCCTCTGTACACACTTGCGTGTTGCCTGAGAGATCGAGCGAAGAACACAATAAAAATCCTCCGCCCCGCCAGCCTCGGTCCTGTAGATTTGCCCCGAATACGCGGCTTCTGCTGGGCAGACTGATCTGGCCCAGAAGGCACCACCACCAGGACCTACCAGTCACTGGGTCGTGGTCATTTTGTCATTTCCAACGGCTCCAGAAACACCTTGCTTGGTCTCCAGGATGAATCTCAGAAAGTGGAGTCACAGGGCCGGAATGGGGGTCCCCAAAGGCTGTGGCCAGGGTCTGCCCGAGGTGCACGGGCGGACAGTCTGGAACAGCCTGCACCAGGGGTCCTAGGTCAGCCTGTTTCACAGGCGCACGTTCCCCGAGTGCAGAGCTGCTTCAGGAGGGAGGACAGGTCTGAGTCTTCTAGTACCCCAGGCACAGTGAGAGCAGGGCACCAGGATGGGGCTGGGCAGGGGCTGCTGCTGGAGAACTGGGCAGAAAACGGAAGCAGATGTGATGTCTGGTTCAGAGCAGGTTCCTCTGTGGCGTGGGGGTGAGGGGAAGCATGGTGTGTCTTCCTCCAGTCCCAGCTCCCAGAACCAGGGCTTGTCCTCAGCCATGGGGACTGGAGAGGGATGGGGCCCTCCTAATCTACCTAGCCACCTGAGAACCCAGGCCAGCTAGCGATGACTAGTCACACTCCCAGCCCCCAGCGCTACTCTAGCCCGATAAAATGGGGGTGCTGAGGTCCCTGCAGAGCCAGCTCCTTCCCAAACACGCCAAACCCTCCCTGCCTGGGCCAGGCTAGCTCTAGTGGGTGCAGCTCCTGCCATGGGCTCTTCAGAGTCTATGGTGGAAGGCAGGCATCTGACCTCCTTCCATTCCCCCACCCTGGCTGGGCCTGAATAGGAGGCCTCAGGAAGTTAGGTGGCGGTAGGCAGTCTCCACTCCAGGCTCATGTCCCTGTGGGTCACCACTAGAGACAACCCAGCCCCACCCACACTCCCCAACCACCGTTCCATAGACAGTTCCCTCCCTTGATGATTGCCTGCCTGAATCAGCCCCTGATTGCTCCCATGGGACTTGGACTTTCCACTTCTCCTGGGAGTTCCCCTTCCCCAGCCTGTCTGCTGCTGCAAGGAGACAGATGACTCAGCGGTGGTTTCCCTGGGATCCAGCTTCTCATTTGCCTCTCTGTCCACTCTGGGTTGGTCAGCAGCCCCTCCGCTGCCCTCTTCCAGGCAGCCTTCCCAGAGCTTCCCATCCAGCCTCCAACCTGAATCTTCAAGCAGAACCAGCCCCCCCAGTTCTGCTGATTACCTTGCAGGAGCGGGTGCCTTTCCCAGGGAAGCGTTTGTGTATCGGAGCTCTCCTAAGAAGAACTGAGCCTACATGTGTCCAGCTAAGTGTTAGTTCATGGGATCCTCCTCACCGTCCTGTGTAAGCCTGGCTTCACAACAGTGATACCAAGTGTGAAGAAAGGGGGAAAAGACAGGGAGGAGGCCTTGGAGAAGCTAAGGATGCCTCTGGGAGCCGCTCTACCCACACACCCGCAGGGACTGGGTGACAGAGGATATCTCCCTCCTCTCTCCTCAGCATGGCTTCCTGCTGCCTTGTGCCTTGTGGCCTCGGGGCAGCCCCTGCCCCTCTCCTGACCCCAGTGAGCTTCCCCTTTTGGGTTCTGTAGTGCTGGGGAGGAGAGCGTCCAGAGGAAGCAGTGCCTGGCTGGCTAGAGCATTGGTGTAGTGTTCAGAGGGTTGTCTGGGTGGGCAGTCTGGAGCCTGGCCCTGCCTTGCCCAGCCTAGCACTGCCTGTACCTGGGCCTGGGCCCCACTCCACAGATTAAAGACCTGGGACTCCTCTGAGGGCCCTTCCGAGTCCTGTGGTTAATGTGCAACCAGTGGTGTTTCTGAGGAGCCTGGACCATAAACCAGCTGGCCGGTGATGTCACCCAGCCTCTTGTCCAGGCACCAACAAACCAGTTCCGGCAGGACTGAGAGAGCAGGGGGCCCACAGCGAGGGACTAGGCTGGGTCAGCAGAAGAGATACTCTGCCCCGGCAGGGGCCAGCCCTCCCCTCCCCTTTGCCTGCTCACCTGTTCTGGGGCCACAGAGGTGCCCAAGCATTCCCTGCCTGGTAGAGACCTCATCTTGACATTTGAGGGCCTTGAAGACCACTTCCTTTCTTACCCCTGCTGCCCCCACCCTGCAGCATGGGTCTGTGTTCCAAGGGTGGGCGTCACGAGGTTTTTGAGGGACAGCTGCACCTGCGGCCCAGTGCCTCTGTCACCAGACTGCTGCTCCCTCTGTGCACAGCTGCGAACAGAGCACAAGGACCTGCCTCAGAGGGCTGGGACTGCTGAGGCCCCAGACCGGACCCTCACCCCGGGGCCACCCCTGGGCAGGGGCTTGCTGCTGCTCCTGCTTGTGGAAGGGTAGGCAGCCTGCAGCCCTGCCCTTTGACCTCACCTGCAATCTGACCCTCGCCTATGGAGGCAGAAGCCTGGGCAAGAGGTCCTGGGGAGGGAGAAGGGCTCTCAAGGCCTGCAAGGGCTGGTGACAAAGACAGAGCCCCCTTCCCCCAGGGTGCCTCTTCTGTTTCCACAAACAGAAACTCGAGCTCAGCAGTCAGGCCTTCGGGTTAGGGTGGGTGGGCAGCTGCAGATAGTTCTCAGAGCTGGGGAAGGGGCTGGGCGCCCAGAGTGCAGACTTTCCAGGCTTAGGGGACACCTGCTGTCCGGCCAGCCTTGGGCCACTTGGCTTTTTATGAGTTTTATTGGACTGAGGCTTGCTGACTCAGAAGAGTTTGATGCAGGCCAAAAAGTGAATGAGGGAAGAGGTAAAGTCCAGCTGTAGCAACCACACCCTGCCCCACCCGTCTTTGCCCCAGGGTCTGTTCCTCAGGGTACCTACCCATTGCCCTCAGCCTGGAACTCCTGTGTTCCTGTCCCCAGTGCCCCATTTCTGGAGACGCTTCTGTCCTGCTGTTAATCACTTGGGGTGGTTGGTGGCTTGCTCAGGGTGCTGTCTTTGCAATAGCAGGACTCGGGCTCTTTCCTCTCATTGGCTGCCACCTTACCCCCAGCACACCTGGCACCTAGCAGAATTCTGCAGTGCTGCAGGAATTTTGTCAAACGTACACAGAGATAAGGGCTCCTCCTCCTGCTTTATTTACACAGCAACATATGTGAGGCTGCAGACGGACATTAGCCACACAAACTCACTCTTCTCTTTTTAAGAGATGCATAATATTCCACAGGGGACAGATGCCCCCTACCTATGGCCAGCACTCCAGGGATGGGCTTCGGATCCTTTGTTTTCACCGCTGTGCATTTCTGTATGTATTTGCAGTGAGAATGGACACTTTCTCTAGGCAGCATTCCTAGAAGTGGGACTGCTGGGTCACAGAGTTGGATATTATTAATGTCAATAGACACTGCCAAATTCCTTTCAAAAAAGGAGATAGCAACGCATAGCTGCAGGCAAGGCGTACATGCCTGTCTCCTCCTGTTCCAACTCAGTCTTTTACTTGTTTGCCAGTCTGGATGTGGGGATAGAAGATGTAGTCATTTTGCTCTTGATTTGTGTGGATCATGGTTGTTTTTTTTTGTTGTTGTTGTTGTTTTTTTTGTATTTTGTTTTTGAGACAGGGTCTCACTATGCAGTCCAGGCTGGCCTGGAACTCACTTATATAGCCCAGACTGGCCTCCAACTCACAGCAGTCTTCCTGCCTCAGCCTCAGCCTTCGAATGTGTGTACTTATTGTTGGTTGGTGTCTCTAGGGTCTGCTTCTGCAGGGCTGAGTGGGTAGGAGAAACCTGTCCCCGATGGAGAGGACCCAAGGTTAGTGGCCCCTCAGGGAATAGTGTCTCCCAGGGCCGGCAGGGCTGGGGGGCGCTCTGGCCCGGTTCCCAGAGCCCTCACCCTGCTTGCCCAAGGTCAGGGCAGAGCGGGTGCCACGGGGCTGGATAGCAGCCAGACTGCGCCTCCCTTCCTTGCTGCACCAATAACATCCAGGAGATGCCTGCGGGCACCTTGAAGAAGGTCGGCGGCTCCAGGCTGGGCGGCTGGGTGGGGTGAGGAGGGGCAGGCCCTGCTTAGGAAGCTTCGGGAAGGACTCAGTCGCCTTGACGCTCGCCGCCCCTTGGGGGACTGCGGTGACCAAGAAACACGCATCCGGCCGTCCTCCCGTGCTTTCTGGCCTCAGTTTCCCGCCCGGAGGCTCTGTGTGTGTGTGTTCGGGGAGGGGGGGCCCTGGAAGTCCAACGACCTGGGGTTTTGGCTTCGGGGTTCTGGGCGGGGTGGCCGTGCGAGGTCCCCGAGAGGGGACAGATGGGGTGGGCCGCCGAGGGGCTTCGGGGGCTGCTGGCGGCGGACAAAGCGGCGGCACCACCCCGGAGCGCTGGCCAATGGAATGAATGGGCTATAAATAGCGGCCAATGGGCGGCCCGCGACGCGCCCCTTAAGAGCCCCGGGAGCGCCGAGCGGCCGCGTTCGCCTGCGCCGCGCCGAGCTGCCGACGGA